GAGGCCTTGGTAGACATCCCAGATAGCCTTTGAGAAGGGCCGTAGTCTGTAAGTGGGGGTAAACCAGAAACAAGTGGGGGTAAACCGGAAATAACCAGTCGCTGTGAAAACTGAAACATGGCCCCAAGGCACCCGCTCACCACCTGGAACAAAGTCACATGTACCTGCTCCACCTGCTGACCAGGAGAAAGCACCTTCCTCTATGAATAAGGACAGCCTGCTCCGGAATCTCTGGACTTTTGGCACACAGTATGCACCATTGCCAGTCATGCCATGGGACAGAACCAAATGACCAAAGGGAGGTAAAGAGAGAAAACAGACAACAGAAATAGATCCACATGTTCCGCAGATGTCACAAGGTGCAGACAGAATCTTTGAAATAACTGCAGCGCATAATTGCAGGAAGAGGGACAAGGTGGGGAATTTTACCTGAAAAGAAAAGAGCTTATAAAAATTTTGCTCAGATGGAAATTCTAGAACTGAGCAATACAGTAACCAAAATTAACAATACCCTAATTCAAACAACAGAAGAGGATGTGAACAAGGTAGGGTCCATCTCAAGAAATTGGAAAGACTGCCCAAAGGAATGACAAGGAGACAATGAAGATGAGAGTAGGTATTAATGAATTAGAAGGTTGGCTGTGGCTACACAGAAAGATCCGGGAAGAGGTAGAAGGCTGGGTCAAAGTGCTGGCTCTGCCACCGTCTTGCTGTGTGACCTTAGACAAGTCACTTGCCTTCTCTGTGCTTCCATTTCCAATGTCAGGGAAGTAAACATGATTATCCATTTTGCCCAGTTGATGTGAAGATCATGTGGAGGACAGTTGAGGCCCCTCTGTGTTGGATGTGCTGATGTTACTAGCAGCCCTCCTGCAGGAGACTATGCAGAGAGCTAGGAGGGCATCCCAGCCTGGGGAGAATTGTGCACGTCAGCAGGTGTGAACATTCAGAAACCCATACTGTTCATTCACCTCATTCCCCAAGCATTTGAAACAGTTCATCTGTCAGTGGCTGGTCATTGCCAGCATCTCCTTGTGGCCAGGTAGGCTTATCTTTGTTAGGGACCTTCTTTAGAGAAACCTTGACTTTCTGGACTCTTGAAAGGGTGCTGATGTGTATTCAACATTGTTCCGGCGACCCCCGTAGATGGTCACAGATGCATTCTCAGTGCCCACTCCAGGACAGGTGGACCTTGGAGATAATGCTGGGTTCAGTTCCAGACCACCGCAATAAAGTGGATATTGTAACGAAGTGAGTTAGAAGAATTTCCTGGTTTCCCAGTGCCTACGAAGTTGTGTTTATATGGTAGGAATCTATTAAATGGGCAATAGCATTATATCTTTAAAAACAAAGATGGGTACCTTAATTTGAAAATACTTTATTGCTGAAAAGTGTTTACCATCCCCTGAGCTTAAAGCCTGTCATCATCACCAGTCACAGATCATCTTAACAAATACAGTAATGAAAACATCAGAAATACTGCGAGAATTACCAAATATCACATGGAGACGCCAAGTGGGCATATTGGGAAAATGCTGCTGGTAGATGTGCACGACACAGGTAGGGGTGCCACAAACCTGTCTGTAAAAAGCACCAATCTGCAGAGCAGGACAAACAGGATATGCTTGTCCTCCAGGATGTGGCTGCGAGACTTCAGCCACTCTGCTGGCGGAAGAGGGAGCCGTGTCCTTCCCTTGCTTTGTTTTGCGGAGGCATGACTGTCCTCCCCCCCCATGCACTTGGCATCTTGGTCTCAGTTCCATTTCAGGAAACCAGGGCTGGCATTCCCTCTGGTGCTGCAGGCTGCCTCAGTTACTGGAGCGCAGGGAAGTCATGAATTCCTCGTTTCTTCCCAGAGGCCAGGAAAGAGGGTGGAAGGGTGTTCTTGCTTTTCCACTGCAGCTTATTTCACGGCTTTGGAAAACACTAATGGATACCAGCTCAGAAGCCTCTGATGGCCAGTGAGATCCGAGTGCATGCTCTGGTCTCGGAGATGTGGCTCCCAGCATGTGCTGAGTGGACAGGAGGGGGGTGTCGTGGTTTCCTTGCCTCTGCAGCCCAGCCTTGCCCTCTCTCTCTACTCTCACCCCACCCCAGCATCAGCTTAGACCATGAATGCCTCCCTCGAGGAGCCAGGACGTTATCAGGAACCTGGCCCCTCATTCAGAGTTGTATTTGGTCCATGTGGTTCAACAACAGGCATTTATTTGAGTGACCTTGTCTCTGAGTCTGGCTTCAGGATTCAGAGTCCGTGAGAGTGTCTGGGGCCATGCTCATTACCGAGACAGATGCAGTAAGACTGCGTTGCTCTTCTGCTCAGACCCTTCCGTGGGTCCCTGGGTCACACAGAGCAAACTTGGTCTTGCATAATGACTTCCACAGGCCCATGTTTTCTGCCCCACCCCACACCCACCTGTTCTTCTTCTTCCCATTGATCCAGGGGTACCGGCCTCCTTTCTTCCAAAGGCATCATTCCGAAGATGCCTAGGAGGCTCCCAACGTAGAATCTTTCATGACGTGTCTCAACCACCTGTCCCAGAGGCTGACCCATCACAGGCCCCTAGAAGATAGGTAGTGAGTGAACCAGATGACTGGACAGAGTTTACCTGGTTGAAAGCCCAGAAAAGTGGACAGAATTGGTATTTCCTCATTTCTCAATTGAAGAAATGGTTCAGGGAGGGCAGGCTTACATCTCTGCTCTGAATTGTTGGCCCTTGCCTTTCCCTTCATTTGTTTCTGGATTTCTTCATGCTCTCTGGATACCAGGCGACAGGGACCCAACAATGAATGAGAGTGAGCTCCTATCCTCACGGGTCTCCCAGCCCAGGGAGGAGGCAGATGAGTGAACAGTACTGGTGGAATGGAGCCACCACACTGTGGAGGCCAGGAGAGGACACTTCTCCTGCCAGGAGAGGGCAGGCCTTTCTCCAGGAGTCAGCACCAGCTGATCCGTGAGGAATGAGAAAGAGCAGGCTGGGTGGGTTGGACTTTCCGCACTGCGGGGTCAGCCTGGGCAGGAGCAGCTGTGACCTGTGGGTCAGTCATTTTGCTTCAAGTTTTATATAAGTAGCCTGCTTTACGCAATAAAGGGGATTTATTATCTCACCTCATTAAACTGTTGAGGTGTAGGGTGGGCTGCAGGTATGGCTAGATCAGGGAGTCAGCACCACTTGACTTGGCCCTGTTCAGCAGTCACCTCTTCCACATGAGCTATTCAAATGGCCAGCACATATTATATGTTGGCTAATTGAATTTAAATAAAAACAAATTACACAGTAAAAAAAATAATAATAATAAAAATAGAAAATGGCCAGCATGATCCTGACTTTTATATGCAAAAATCAAACAGCCAGAGCAAAATAAAGTTTCTTCCCTCCCTACAAGTAAGGGGGTTTAGTGTGATTGGTTGCCTTAGGACACGCACCCATCCCAGGACCCAGAGGGCTGGGAATCTTCTGCCAGACACATTCGGTCAGAGCCCAGCATGGAAGATAAGCAGGTTAATCTCACTCCAGTGATGGAGCTGCTTCTTGCTAGAGGAGCAGGGGTGGCTGGAAGGGATGACTCTGGGCACCACTGGGTTATAAATATGAGGCAGGTTGTCTTGAACACTGAGGAACGGAGAAGTAGGAGAGTCGAAATGGCCTTGCCAACTGAACTGAAGAGTTGAGGGAGTTCTAGCACACATAAGCCTTGGATGTTTCCAAGAAGGCCTTTTGGATTTAACCCGATTTTTGAGAACCCCCCTCTTTTCTACCAAAAGGTAATCAATAACCCTTCAAATGTCACTTTCCTGGAAAAAAAGGCATCCTGCTCGTTGGCATTTATACAACAAGGATGGGGATGAACAGACCAGACAGAGACTGGGTCGGGGGAGAGGGGGACACATTCCAAGCAAAGACCAAAGTCATCACGCTCAAGTGAAGAGATGTGACCAGCACAAGGGCAGTGCATTCTGGGGGCTCGTGTTGGGGACATCTGAGGAGTCCCTATTTGCTCTCTTTGGTGGAAATGGACTCCCCCTTTATGTTTTCCAACTAAAGACCAGTAGAGAGAGAGGATGTTGCTCCCGGAGCAGACGATCCGCCCCCCCGCCCCGTTCCTGGTGCCGCCCCTCCATGCACATGGAATTAGAGGCCTGTGGAGCTGGATTTGGGTCCTGCTTCCTCCTTTCCCGGGGACCTTGGGCAGGTCATTTAATCTCATTGAATCTCAGTTTATTCTGAGGACAAAGCGGGGACCCCCTCTCTGGCTGGCAGTATACTTTGAGGACTGCTGGAGGAAGGAGACACATGCGTGGCCCGTCATGTCTGGCTTTGAGTGAATCAGCCAGGAGCACTCACTCATGTGTGCATTGAAAAAGAAGCAGCTTAGCAATTGCCCAGTACATCCCAGCAGCTCAGCCGTAGCATTTTACCTTATCTTTGTAACCACTGGTAAGTGGAGGTGTCATTTTCCCATTTTACGGAAGAGGAGGCTGAGGGCCGGGCTGACTGACTAACTTTACAACTTGAACCTGAGCCGGCTAAAGACCACTCTGTAGGACCGAGGCTAATAGGCAAAGCTTGAATGCCAAGGGGGCCAGAAGCCTACAATTCTTACTGAAATTCGGAATCTGAAGGAGAGTGAAGGAGGGAGTAGCACATCTTGGCAGGTACTCAGCAGTCTCTTTGTCTGTTCCACTGTGCGTGCATCACTGACTCGTTGCACAGATTTTGGTGGACTGCTTTAAACGGACCTGGTTCTGGTTGCGGGAAAGATGGTGGGGCGGCCCCTGGGTCCCTTAGCAAACCTTGAAGAATGGGTGTTAACATCCCATCATACAGATGCACAGACCAAGGCTCAAGAAGGTAAAGAAATGGTCCAGAGCCACCTGCCCCGTTGGCTTGACTCCAGAGGAGAAGATCACGGAGTTCATCCTGGAGGAGGTGGGGAGACAGAAAGGCAATATAACAAGGTAATAGAATTTCATCCTGTTTTCTTCCTCCTTTTCTGTGCAGATGACAGACAAGCCTCACTGCCTCCATCCGGCGTGCTGCTGGATGGCCACATCTCTGGTGACAGCATGGCAAAGACCCGGTTCTAATTAAGCATCATCACCCATCACCCTTTCTGGAGCACAGTGGCAAAGACAGCATCCCTCTGTCCCGCACCGTGACCCTTCCTCCGAGGTCCTCACCCCAAAGAGTCCTTGCACTGTCACCAAGATTAATTACCCCTCAACCCCTGTGGATGTGAAAGGAGGTCATTTTACTAAGTTTGATTAAAGCTTTAAGAGACATTGTTGGCTGTTTCAGGACTGCTGACAAAGCCACCTACTTTTTTTCCAGAAAGGACAAATTATATGCAAGAAGCCGCAACCCCCCAGAGGGGTCCACTTAGCCTCTGACTGTCACGGGGTGATGTCCCACACCCTGGGGTGGCCATCGCCGGGCAGGAGTGAAGTCGGCCCTCGCAGGCCTGGAGGCCCCCCTGGGAATCCCTGCCTTGCCTTGTGAGCGGGCCTCCATCTCTGGGACTTTCTTCCGAATTCCCCCTCGACCAGGCGTGATTTCCTCCAGCCCCGCCAGCCCCGGGAGGCGCCAGTCCGGACAGCAGAAATGGTGACCCTGAGAAAGAGGACGCTCAAAGTGCTCACCTTCCTTGTCCTCTTCATCTTCCTCACCTCCTTCTTCCTGAACTACTCCCACACCATGGTGACCGCCACCTGGTTTCCCAAGCAGATGGTCGTAGAGCTCTCGGAGAACTTCAAGAAGTTCATGAAGTACACGCACAGGCCTTGCACCTGTGCCCGCTGCGTGGGCCAGGAGAGGGTGTCGGCCTGGTTCGACGAGAGGTTCAACCGGTCCATGCAGCCGCTGCTGACCGCGCAGAATGCGCTCCTGGAGGAGGACACCTACAGCTGGTGGCTGGTGAGAGCCGGGCTGGGGGTGCGTCTGGGGCCCAGTGGGGCGCGACCGTGGGCTGCGGGGGGGGAGGCGGAGGGGCGGCCGGGTGCTTAGCGGGGGTTGGGATGGAGGCATCGTTCGCTCGTGAGACAGCTGTTCATGGAAGACCCGCTCTGTGTAAATCAGAGCCGAGCGTCCCTATGCGTTCCCCATGTCTGCTGGAGCGGATGGCCAGCCACCAACTGGGTGATTTAAAACAACAGACACACCACGCCAGGCTCTGCCTCCCTCTCCACCTGACCCCTCCTCTGGGTCTCTCCGCCTGTCTCAGCAGGACCACCTGTTCCTCCGTTCAGGGCCCCCTAAATCCGGGATGATCCCATCTCATGATGTTTTAAATTAATGCGGTAAAGACCCATTCCCACCAGGTCCCGTTCACGGGGAGTTGGGGCTTGGACGTACCTTTGTGGAGACCACGGGTTTCCCGCATTACAGATTCCGAGAAGCAGAAAAGAGACCAGGTCCTCATTCTCAGGGAACTGTGTCCTGGCTGAGGGAGACAGATGAGAAACCACGAAGACGGGCTCAGCTGGAAATGCCCTGAGGGAGGTCACATGAGGTTTGTGATAGAGCCTGGGGGCCCGGGGCCTCTGTAAAGGGGATCATCGGGGAGGGCTCTGAGGAGGCAGGACTTGAGCTAAGACCCCGGAGGTAGAAGGCACTGGGCATAGAAAGATCCAGAGAATGTGCTCCAGGTCATGGCAGCGGCCAGCATAGGAGCCCTGGGGAGGCCTCCGTGGGGGTCTCTGGGAGGAGCAGGGCCCCGGCAGTGGGCAACCCCCACGGTAGGGTTTCTGGTTTGTTTTTTGTGCAAGAGGAAGCTGCTGTGGATCTGAGGGGAGTCCCAGGATCTGATTGAGAGGTTTGAAATGTTATTTAGGGGGTTGAACTCCAAAATAGAGTGAAGGGGGTAAGAAAGAATTAATTCCTTGCGGATTTATTGGGCACTTACTATATGCCAAGTGTCGATATATTGAAATCGAAAAGACAGTCTTCCCTTTCTTGGGTTGCTAGGGTGGCTAGAGAGGAGGAGACAGCCAGCCAGAGGCTGGGGTCATAGGTGTTGCTTCGGAAGGGAAGAGGGGATCCAGAGCGCAGAGCAGGGGCTCCAAACCCTACCTTAGGGCCAGAGTGGGAGCTGTCAGAGAAGGCTTCCCAGAAGGGACAGTGGTGGGGTTCCTCCTAAAGGACTCAGAGAGGTTGTCCCCGTGGGGAGCACAGGACGGGCTCTTCAGGCCGAGGGACCAGTGTGCATCAGCCTGGCGATGTGAACAAGGTCATGTTAAGAAGTTAGAATTGTGTGTCGGCTGAGAAAATCAGGGGAGCCTTCCTACAAGAGGCTGGCTTTCCCAGTCAGCAACTCTAAGCAATTCTCACACTCTGGGGAGCTAACCGCCTCTTTGAGGAGACTGGAAGAGTCTGCAGGGATTCAGAAGATGGGAGTCGGAAAGCCCAGGCTCAGTCTTGGTTCGCTGAGCTGCGTTGAGCCCCTGGGTGTGCAAGTCCTGGGGAGGGTCCTGGGGAGGTGGGAGAGAGAAGAGGCGGGGTCTTCACTCCCTCGAAGATTCCGGTGTCAGCTATGGGAGGCAGTGGACCAGGCTTGATGAAGATTAGGGCGGGATTTCCACCTCGCACTGGTGACACTTGGGGTGGCTACATCTTTGTTCCTGGGGCTGTCCCGCCCGTTGTAAGATGTTTAGCAGCGTCCCCAGTTTCTACCCATGGGATGCTGGCGTCACCCACCCCCCTCTGTGAGCCCCAGAATCTCTCCAGATATTGCCGGCCGACCCTGGCAGGGGACAGGGGGGTGCAAAATTGCCCCCATAACCACAGTGGGTGGGGAAGGGAAGTGAAAACTCGGAAAAGAAAGGTGACTTGCTCCCAACAGCACGTCCCATCCAGCCTTCCGTACCTGGAGGTACCGATGAGAAACTTCTAGAGTGGGTAGCCAGGACGACTTCATCTACTCCCCTCCCAAAGGTCCTCGGGGAGAGCGGCTTCTAACACTCTCAGGCTGGCTTAGCCCGGGATGGATAAACAAGTATATATATTTAAAAAAAATCAATTTCCTGCTATAATCTGTGTATCTTTGCAGAAACTGCTCTGTGCCTTCTAGACTTAGGAAGTGGGATGTGCCCTCACCAGTCCCGGCTTCTGCTCCCAACTTTCTCGGTCTTATCAAGAGGGCTCTCGAGGAACCTCTTCATCTGAGTCCTCAGATGCAGGCTCTGACAGCTGTGTCACGAACATTAGTAACATTGTAACACTTGTATCTATTCTTGCTGGCTGAATGGGCAAGTGATAATGAATTTGCTTCCCCCCGCCCCAGCGCTTATCAAGGCTGAACATTTTTCCAAGTGACTGTTGGTATTTCATCAACTTGTCTCCCAGCCCTCATTGGTAGCCCCTCTCTCCTGGAGCTGAGCCCCGGTGGCCGCTTGGAAGGGGTGTGTGGTGGGGATAGAGAGCCCTTGGGAACAGAAATCGATAGAAAGGGGTAGGGCTTTAAAGCTTCTGGGTTCCTAGATGACACAGAGACCACTTGTCCTGAGAAGAGAATCAGGATACCACGTCGGACAAGATCTCACAGAATATTTGAAATCAAAACCACCCTGGGAATTCCAAGACACATCACAGCTCTGCCTGCAGGTCCCCCAGGGAACCAGGACAATCTTGTGGACAGATCCAGACCCAGGAACCCAACCATAGAGCCCCTGCCTTTCACACATTCGGAGCCTGGTGGGAGCCCACTAGGAGCCCCGCTGTAGGGCACTCAACTGGCAGAGAGCCAGCGGCAGGTGGCTGGTGCCACGGGGCCCAGAAGGCAAGCCCACACTCTCCCTAGACTCACTCTGTGCTAGGCCCCTGGGAGCCCTGGGGTAGAGCAGATGACCAGAGTCCATGTTCTCCTACTTAGACTGTGGGAGGGAGCCCCAGCCCAGTGAAGGAGGGATGCTTTCTTTGGGAAACAGGTGGATGCAGTGTCAGGGAAACCCGCCAGCCAGCTGAGCCAGGAGGATTCTGAGGCCAGAACTGCAGGGTCCCGAGCTCCCACCCCGCTTCTGAGCTTCAAGGTTGCCATCAATGGGCATCACAATCCCGGTAGGCAAAGGAGACAGGGCAGGTGTAAGCTCCAGCGGGATCAGGAGGACAGGAGCAATCACACGGGGCCACCCCTGGGCTGGCCCCAACCTGCCCATGACCTTCTCCTCCCGCCTCTGTCCCAGTCACCAGGACAAGGGTCCCCTCTGCCGCGGCCACATTTCCACACACTGTTGGGCCCACCCACTCCGTTTGCCCCTGCCTTCTGCCCCGCCCACATCTTCCTGCCGCAAGCATTATGCTCAGTGCACAAAAGACAGTAATACCCCCCGCCTGTCCAGGTGCCGCTCTGTTCGGGTCCCAGGCCACAATTCCAGGCACTGCCCTCCCACCCCCAGCTTCACCACACCCTGTGAGGACCCCTTACCTCGTTTTCCACTTGTCAGGCTTGCCTCACTGGTGAGGGGCACAGTCGGATCACGTTCCAGTTCAGAGACAAGCTCTGGAGTCAGGCCGGGGTATTCAGGCTATCTTGGGGCCTCTGGGCCATCCACTCCACCTCGCTGAACCTCAGTTTTCTCAGCTGTAAAATGGGTACCTCATACCACCTTGCTCATAGGACAGTTATGGGGAGTGAATGAGGAAATGCCTGTGAAGTTCTTTGAGGGGGGCCTGGCATGGACGGACCACGGGGGGCTCCTGGGTGGCTTCCACTCAGGTCATGATCCCAGGGTCCTGGGTTCGAGCCCCACGTCAGGCTCCCTGCTCAGCCAGGGTTTGCTTCTCCCTTCCTCTTTACACTCTCTTTCTCTCTCACTCTCCCTCACTCTGGAATAAAAACATAAAGTCTTAAAAAAAATAAAAGAGGAAGAAGAAGAACCACTTAACACAGGCTTCCACCAATGACGAGGGCTCACAGGTGGGCACATGAGCCTGCTCTAACTTGCCCACCGCACGCGGCATCTAGAACATGGGGGGCTCTGCTCTGATGGGTCTGGTGGGTGTCAACCCCTGTGGAGATCATGTGCTTGCTCAGCACCCTGAGTGGGTGTCTGTCTGTCTGTCTGTGCTTGCTGCTCAGACGCCCAGGGGGCCAGACAGAGAAGCCCACGGCAGCCGGGGATTACACGATGCCTGTGGCGAGGGTCCTGCGTGCCAAGCACATGCATAAGGCAGAGACCAGTATTTTGGGGGACTGTGGGAGGCCTCCCAGGTGCCGCAGGGCGAGCTGGACGTGGAAGGAGGAGGAAGGTTCACTGGCGGAGCAGAAAGGCAGGACAGGGGTGGGGAGAGGGTACGTCCTTCCAACACACTCAGGGCGTTGGGACAGGAGGTGCAGAAGGCCAGACATCATGCCTCAGGGCTCCCCTATAGTTCTTCCCCATCTGTGGCCTGAGTGTGAGTGTGCCAGGACGTGCACCTCCCTGGTCCCCGCCCGCTGAAGTAGACCCTGTCATGGAGATCGTGTCCCCCGCCCTTCCCGCTCCCTCACTGCGGTCAGTGCCCACCCCACGCAGCTGCAGCTCTGACTCCAGCCTCTGCTTCCCAGCCCTGCCTGAAGTCACAGGGTGGCCTCCAGGAGCCCTGACCCCAGCGGGCAGGCTCCTGCGGGATGCTGACCCCCAGTGGGCAGGCTCCTGCGGGGCGCTGACCAAGAAGGATACTTGGAAGTTCCTGCGGAGGAGTGAGACAGGGAGGTTGTCTTTTAACTTCTCAGCATTCCCTCCTGCGGGTGAGTTAGCAGCCTAGTGGTCCCTTTGCTGTCCCTTACGAGAGGGAAATTGGAGTATCCCTTCCCAAGGAAGACGGGCACAGGGACACAGATGAGCACTGAGGGCCCTGCCCCATCCGACCCAGCGGGCAGGTGCACGAGGTAGGGTTCTCCTGCAGAAGTTTCCCACCCAAGCTCTGGCTGGTTCCGATCGGCAGCGGAACGTGTGGGTGCATGTGCCCGATGGCCTCGCCCTTCTCCCCTCTGGGCCTCCGTCTCCACTCCTGACAGCAAAGCACTACAGCAGATTCAAAGTCGCCGACAGGATGTAGCCGGCCTCGAGATTCCAGGTGATGGCGGGGCCGGGCATTCAAGACCCTCACATCCCAGCACGAGGAAGGGAGTCCGCGGAGTCCGCAGTGATTCTCTTGCTGTGCAGTTGCAAGGACTTTAATCTGCCCCCGTGCTTGGTGACGAACCTGTCCAGTCCCGTGCCACCTTCCTTCTAGCGAAGCGTGGGCAGCGTGCCCGGGCCAGTGACAGTCTGAGCGGGAATCAGATAACATTGTTTGGTGTGATTACTTTTTTTAACTTCTGCCAAGTAATCCTTGCTTTCCACTTGCAGTAGGGATGGGAGATTTCCTTTTAAAATGAACTTTTTTTTTCTGAAATGGGCCATTAAAAATGAGTAAGACAGCCATAGCCGGGTTAAGACACCACAGTGCTGTGCTCCCTAAGTCCCATCTCCCAGGGCCTCGAGACTTCAGACCACGGGGATGTGCCTGCAGGACAGTGTGGTCAGGGTCCTCCACTCGCACCAGCAGCACTACCCAGGAGCCCCTTGGAAGTGTGGGATCCTGGGTTCAGCCCAGTCCCACTGAGTCAGGCCCTTTGAATTAGCAAGATCCTGGGTGGCCGCCCATCTGGGAGCTTGGAGCTGCCCCAGGAGATCTTATCGCAAGCACGTGTTTAATCTGGGAATTGTTCTGTTTTATTGTGTTGAAATGTACATAACATAATGTTTACCGTTGTGACCATTTGTACGTGTACAGCTCAGTGGCATTGAGGATGTTCCCACTGTTATACAACCAACCCCACTGTCCAGAGCCAGCATTTTTTCTGTTGTGCCCACAAACCCTGCCCCTGTTCAACGCAAACTCCCCTCCCTCCTCCCCCCCTCCCGAGCTAACTGCCTTTCCACCTTCCATCCTATGCATTTGGCTCCCCAGGGGACCTCATATAGTGGAATCCTACCGTATTTGTCCTGCTGTGTCTGGCTTAGGTCAATAAGCGTGTTTCTAAGTCCCAGCGCTTCCTTTTTTTTTTTTTTCTTTTTGAGATTTTATTTATTTGTGAGAAAGAGGAGTCACAAGCAGAAGGAGGAACAGAGGCAGAGGGAGAAGCACAGACTCCCCACTGAGTCAACTCATGAGCTGAATTCCCTTCTTGCTCATGGCTGCGCGACGTGCCACACCTATTTCATCCAGTCACCTGCCAGTGGACATGTGGGTCGCTTTCCAGCTTTTGGCTCTGGTGAATAACGCCGCTGTGAACATGGGTGTGCAGGGCTCTGTGCGGTACCCTGCTTTCAGTCCTTTCGGGTGTAGACTTGGGAGCGGAAACTGTGGCTTCCGTGGTGTTCTATGTGGGTTCTCCACGGTGGCCACACCACTTTCCATGCCCACCAGCAATGCCCGAGTGTGCCCCTTTCTCCACATCCTCTCCAACACTTGTTATTTCGCTTTCTCTCATTTATTATACCCTCCTGGGGGTGCGGCGAGTGGTCCAGATCTTGTTGCCTGCAGCTCTCCCGCGGCGTGTCTGAGGAGACGCTGAAGGTTTTCACTAGAGAATCCACACCCCTGGTGTGCCCCTCCTTTGGAGATCTGATTCCTTCCACCTCAGGGCAGGGGTTGCATGCTTGTACCCCCCCAGGGACCCCGCCACGAATCCCCTGGACAATGGCCACAGCAAGCTGTAACCTCTCTTTTCTCTCCCAGCCACTAACCTGGGGCTGGGGCTAGGGCTGGGAGAGGCTGGTGGGACTCCCCCCACAGCCCCCTCTCCTGCCCAACACACCCCACCCCAGCCCCCGCAGCCCCAGGGACTGGGCTTTCTGAAGGTCAAGGTTCCAATGGTCTGTTACAGGGCAGTATTGTGGGAGAGACTGTGAAGTGGGTTTCCGAAGGCCTCGGTTCAAATCCTGGTTTGGATGTGGGACACATGGTTCAAGCAGTCTGGGCCCCACAGTGTCCCTGTCTGCTGTTCAGATGGGACGCGGTGTGCCCTGAGGTTGGTCACAGGGTCAGAGGGGACACTGCTTAGGAAAGGTCTCCCGGTTTTACCATGAGTGAGGAAGTCGGAAACCTGGAGCTTAGTCTCAGAGGACGCCGACAAGGTGCTAGACCGACGTCGCAAGCCTTGATGCATCCAGCAAAGGGCTGGTTCTTTGGTCTTGCTGGAGCCCAGTGGTCCCCAGGAGATGGGCAGGAGGATGAAGGGAGCCAAGGCCAGGGAGGTGGCCTTGGAGGGTCGCCTGACCCTTCTCCTCTCACCCAGTGTCATTGCCTAAGTGGCCAGTGGAGTTGCAGGCACATAGCCAGGGCTCAGAAAGCATTTGCAGAATGAGGAAGTGATCTCTTTCCCATCCCCTTGAGTGGCTCCCGGGCTTCCAGGTGCCCAACAGAAAGGAAGGTGCCAGGGAGGGGCTCATTGAGCGCAAGGGGGGGCGCTTGGGGCCCAGCATGGGGGCGGCTGAGTGGCCCCAGCCAGAGGCAGCACAGATGGGCTGACCTTTCTCCTTCTGTTCTCGGCCCGCAGAAGCTCCAGCGGGAGAAGCAGCCCAATAACTTGAACGATACCATCAGGGAGCTGTTCCAGGTGGTGCCCGGGAACGTGGACCCCCTGCTGGAGAAGAGGTCTGTGGGTTGCCGGCGCTGTGCCGTGGTGGGCAACTCCGGCAACCTGAGGGAATCGTGGTATGGGCCTCAGATCGACAGCCACGACTTCGTGCTCAGGTGAGTGCCTGGACCCTCGGAGCCACTAGAGACACCTCGGCTCAGGACCAGGAGGTCAGGACCCCCGTGCTGGCATGCCCAGACTTCCCCATGGACCCAGCACCCCCACTGCCTCCCATGGTCCCCAGTTTCCCCAGTGGTGCATCGTAAGAAGGAGGTGGACCGGCCATGCCTCTCTGGACCCAGCTGGGAAATCCTACAAGGGAGGAAGCCAGCAGGCCAGGAGGTCGGCCCATAGGGGCCCGGAGAGAGGGCAAGATTTCTATGAAGACTGGTTTAATCTATGAAATTCGGCCCCCTTTTGGAATCTAAGCCATAATAAAACTATACACTTTTAACAAATATGTTTCCTTATCTCCAAATAAAATAGATCCTCCGGGAAGACGTGTATCCTGGGTTTCTTGTAATCTCCACCCCACTACTCACTCAACAGTGGGGCTGCTGTTCCCGAGGCACCTTCTAGAATAGTCTCCTGTTCCTGGGCTCTCTGCATTTATGTGCTCAGAGCATGAGGCTGGCTTCTTGGAGCCTGCGTGAACCTGGCGTGCACCCTTGGGTTCCGGGTCAGACAGACCCGCGATCAAGGCTGCCATCTGTTAGCTCTGTGTCCTGGGACAAATTCTTGGCATTCCGGTTTCTTCCATTACGGAATAGGAGCACAGGATACCTCCCGGGCGTGGCTGTCATTATGGTGAAACACGGCGCCTTCCTGGGTTGGAAGGGTGCCTTGTGCACGGTAGGTCCGCGACAGTGGCAACAGTCAGGCTCGCTGGAGATCCTGGAAAAGACAGAGATAGCAGAAGCTTTCTAGCTGCCTCTTAATCATCTCTGTTTCACAGCTGAGGGAGCTGGGGCCCCGAAGCAGCGCCCGTGTGATGCGATGCGTGTCCCTCTGTCCCTTCTCCCCCAGGATGAACAAGGCCCCCACGGTGGGCTTTGAGATGGACGTTGGGAGCAAGACCACTCACCATCTGGTGTACCCCGAGAGCTTCAGGGAGCTGGCGGAGAATGTCAGCATGGTCCTGGTCCCCTTCAAGACCACCGACCTGGAGTGGGTGGTCAGTGCCACCACCACGGGCACCATCTCTCAGTGAGTCCCGGGGCTGGGACTCGGGGAGGGGTTTGGAGTGGAGGCCGTTGTCTACGCCCCCCCCCCACGGATCCTCAGTTCCCCCCACCATGCTATTCCCACACTAGAACACCCCTCCCCATCACCAGACTTGCTTCTGGAATGCACCAGACTGCCGGCCCCTGGCCCTACCCGGCCTGCAGCAGCTCCTGGTCCCTTCCCTCTCTGGGCTCCAAACATCCATGGGTGCCCACGATCCCCCTGGTCATGACTCCGGGACAGGCCTCCAAGGCTTACTGGAAACTCCTTGGGAGGATAGGCCCCGCTGGAAAGAACTTGGAAAGAACTCCCCACACATGAGAGTCCTGTTCTGCCCCCTTCCTGTCTCTGCCTTGCACCCTGAAGGGGACAGCGCCCCTGCTTTTGAAGCTATAAAAGTAGCCATGGATGGCAGTGGGGGCAGGCTGGGAGGCAGCGTGCCAGCCCGTCCTGGGGCTCCTATCCGAGTGGCTTTTTCGTCCCAGGCAGTGCCCTGCACCCTGGGCTTTGGTTGTCTCCTCGAATTCCCACACTGCTCATTCCTTCGCCTCCCTTCTCCGGGACACAGAGGCCTGCCCCAGCACACAGCCCTACCTGGGAGCCAGGCTCGCATCTGGGTCATATTCCTAGTTCCCTACTCTTCCTGGAAAGAAGGGGCTTTGCTGTCCAAATGGCCAGAAGCCTCCCAGTCTGAGGCCCGGCCAGCAAGCCTGATGGATTGGGGTACAGGAAGCTGGGGGCCGCCCTCTCAGGAAGGCAGTGAGGGAAGTGGGCTTGGGCAGGGGTGAGGGGGCCAGGCCTGCGCTCAGCTGCTCTCTCCTCCCACCCCAGGATCAGGAGCGGGAATTGCCCCCATTAGGTCTAACTTAAGGCCAGGTGGCTGGGCATTTGCACCTTCATCTTGGGGCACATGTAACCTCGCAGATGGAAAGGGCGTCTTTGTAGGGCTCATCATTCAGGGCCGCAGCCCTGAGCTGTGCTCCTTCAGGCTTGCTAGGGGCAAGTCCCCCAGTCTCAACCTCTGTGGAGGGAGGGGGGAGCAGCAGTTTGAAAATTTTCTTGAGTTAGCCAAGATCGCCCTCTGGTGTCCATATGGGCCACTGCTACAGGAGGAGGTGGCGTCCCAATTGCCCTGTCTAGGATCCACCCCCCCAGGGGCATGCAGGCAGCCTGGGCCCCAAGCCACATTGACCACCTGCTCTTTCTCCGCCTGCAGCACCTATGTTCCTGTCCCCGCAAAGATCAAAGTGAAAAAGAATAAGGTAAGTCGAGGCTCAGGCCCTTGTCCTCTGAGCTGAGGCTCAGTTCCATGGTGGAGAGCCCCATCTCCCTTCTGCCGGCACCTGGCTGCCAAGAGCCCCCGGGGCCCATGGGCTGGTGGATGCCAGAGCCCCTAGGCAGCTTCCCTGCTCCACAGACAGATCCTGGGACAGTTTCTCCATGGGGGACGTTGGCCCAGGAGCCTCGCTAGGATACAGCCCTAGACTCAGACCCTCGGGCCCAACCCAGACCTGCTGTGTCAGAAACTCTGCAGGGAGGGGGTGGCCCAGCCACCTGGGCTTCTTCCGGCCCTCCGGGGATGCGGGTGCCCGCGGCCTTGCAGTACACACTGGTGCTGTACATACGCTGTGCGCTTCTCAAGGCCAGACCTCACCTCTCGGCCCCCAACTCCATCTTCCCCAGTGGTGCCCCCGGGATGGGGCTGGCCAGGACCTGGGCAAAAGGCAGAAGGAGGAAAGAAGTGAAGTGTCTACCACACTGTTTTTGGCACACCCCGTGTGCTTTTCACCCGGTGAGATCAGGGTCAGAGAGGCCAAGTGACTTGCTCGGGAACACACAGCTCGTTTGTGGTGTGTCTGAAGTTGGAGCACTGCCCACGCCTCCAGCCCCTGCCCTTCACGCCGGGTGCACGGCCCTGGGGAGAAGCCACGTGGGAATCCCTGGAGGGCTGAGTGGGAAGCAGGGAGAGCCTCCCAGATGCCTGTGGCTGAAGGCCAGGCCGAGATGAACAGTTCGGCGGAGCCCTCACGGTCCTCTGCTCTAGTCTCTTCCTGGGGTCCGGCACTGGGCTTCCTGGACACACATGCACACCATCTACTGCCTGAGAAGTCTCCTTCCCTGTCCTCCCGGCGGCGGCGGGGGTGGGGGCCGTGGTGTTAAGGGCCGGTCTGATACCAGACCCCTCCCGGCTCAGCCAGCCTGACTGTGTGACGCTGGGCGCCTCGCTTAGCCTCTCTGAGTTGTTTCCTCGCCCATGGGGCCATGTTACGACGGCGTGGAGACCATTCAGTCCCGTTGCTGGCAGAACGGGTGTCCCCGTGCCCGTGTTTCCTGCCGGGTGACAGGGCTGTCTCTGTCTCTACCTTGTGCTGTTCTCTGTAACCTTCCTGGCCTGACTGGGATGTTACCCGGCCGTCTCCTCCTCAGCGAGGCTTCTCCCTTCCGGGTCTTTACTGTGTCGCTGCTTAATTTGTCTCTGTCTCACAGTTGTGGTTTAGCATCCCCCGCCCCGGGATTAGGCTACTGCGGGTCCTTCCCACTACGTGTCAGGCCCAGAGTTCGGGGGCGTTCATCCTGGGCACTGCTCCGTCTCCTAAGGCCACAACAGTGGGGGGTGGGGACTCGCAGGCGCGCAGGGGTCCTTCGAAGCAGCTCATGAAGGGCTGTGTCCTCCCGCAGATCCTGATCTACCACCCGGCCTTCATCAAGTACGTCTTCGACAGCTGGCTGCAGGGCCACGGGCGGTACCCGTCCACGGGCATCCTCTCCGTCATCTTCTCGCTTCACATCTGCGATGAGGTACGGCCCCCCACCCGGCCCCGTGCCCACCCAGCCACCCATGAGGGCTTCTCCTGCCACGTTTCCGAGAGTGTCCGTGAGAGCCTCTGCCATCGCGCTGACCTCCATCCCCACCCCGGGGCCCCGACAGAGCTCTTGTTCCCGAAGCTCCGATGCCGATCTCCACGCTGGAGCGCGCCGAGACTCTCCAGCGCCGCTCTCAGAGCGGGCTGCCCAGGGTAGCAGTGTTCGCTGGGCACAGTCTCGGGAGCAAGGGTCCCGGCTCCCTCCGCGCGGGCTCCCAAGGCAGGGGCGGAACCAGTGGGTGGAATCTCAGACGTGGGGGCAGAATCACCGGGCAGATCATACCCTGGAGGGCCCTTGAATATTCCTTCCTAGACATCTTCATCTCATCTCTCGAGACCCAGTTCAAATGGCACCTGCTGTCACAGATGCCTGGAGTCCTTGGCCTCCGCCTTCCTGTGTGGGCGGGAGCCCTGAGGTTCGCCCCGCCCCGCCCCTCCCTGGTGCTCATGGTCAGTCAGAGCTCCGAGGTCTGACACCTGACTCCTGCGTCTCGTCTCGTTGCCCCAGCACCCCCAGGTGGCCGCGATGAAGGTCTGCCTGAGCTCTGATGTACTTTGCGCAGGGCTGGGCATGGAGGAAGTGCTCAGGAAATGCTTGTCACATACTGGAAAGCCCCCGCCCCTGCCCACTGGCCAGGGAGGGCCCCTGCACCACGTGGAAATTAGCCTCAGGGAAGAAGACAATCAGCACCCACCACCTGCCTCAATGGGGTCGTTCCTCTTGGCCCCATCTTCCAGATGAGGGAAGTGAGGCTCTGAGCAGGCGTTTGGCAGTTTCAGGCTCTACCAGAAAGTAAGGCAGAGCTGGGAGCCTTGCTCTCACCACCACCACCTCCCTCCTCCCTCGGCTCTCCTCCCCCCTGCCCCCATCTCCTGGAGCCCTGGGGTGGAGGTCCCCCTGCCCCAGCTCCCTCAGGGCCTCCCATCGTGCCTTCTGGCATCACACTTGACTTTCACAGAACTTGCTTTTACTTCACAAAGCCCCTGGCAGGTCCAGCAAGGAACTGGAAGGGTGTATGGGGAGAGGGGTTTATGTGACTCTTCGGACGCTGTGTTTGCAGATTTGGGGGTTACCCGCAGGCACCCCTTCTTAGAGGTGCCACCTGTCTCACTGCTGTGTGGTTCTGACCCGTGCTTTGCCCCCGCAGGTGGACTTGTACGGCTTCGGGGCAGACAGTAAGGGGAACTGGCATCACTACTGGGAGAACAACCCATCGGCAGGGGCTTTTCGCAAGACCGGGGTGCACGATGGAGACTTCGAGTCCAACGTGACGGCCACCTTGGCATCCATCAATAAAATCCGGATATTTAAGGGGAGATGATGCTGCTGGGAAGCCCCGGAACCCGCCTCTCCGTGGCCAGCCCCAGCCTCACGCTGGAACCGTTCTGCCCAGGGGACTTTGAGGGCCATTCTCGGAGCTGTGTCCCGGGGCCCCTCATGGCCTTTTGCACCCAGCATTTGACAGCATCTGCAGAGCGAGTCTCAGGACTGGTCCTCGATGGGGAGACCCCACCCCAGGGCTGTCCTGGAGCTGGCAGAAGGTGGGGAGACAAGGGGGAGGTCCAGTCTCCAAATAATCAAGTCATTTTGTTTTCTGGTTGAGGGGGCCAGACACCAAAGACTCTATGCTCCCAAGTGAAGGACAGTTTCCCAGGGGGGATGGGCAGAGACTTTCCTCTGCCCAGGGTCCGGGGCTGAGTCCCAGATTCTGATTCTGTCTGGGATCTTTCCGAGTGAGGAGGACCTCGGGACAGGGCCCCATTGGACCACATGGACCCTGGGGGTGAGACGGCACCTTTCTTTGCACGATGCCTGCCCCCTCCCTCACTTGGCGTGACCACCCCACCTGTGCTGTCTTCCCCAAGCTCGTTTCTGGTGGCCGGGAGGGGCTCCCCAGCCCGAAGGTCTTCATGGCCAAGTGCTGCAGACTCCGCAGAGGATTTCTTCCCAAGCTGACATCTCCTGGAGTGATCGATCTTGGTTGCGATCATCATGGCTGACAGCAGATCTGACTACTTCCATGTGCCTTTGTGTTTAGGGGAGAAATGTGCGCATTGGCTGAAATGAGGCAAAAGCCTTGACTCGGGAACTGGGGGACCCCCGGCCTCATACTCCCCTGCTCCAGAGCCGGGGACATCTTTTCTAGTTTCCTGGGGTGGTGCCGGATCTGGAACAAAGTTAGGATGATACTCGACACTGTCCAGAAGGACATCCGCCGTAGGAGGTCATTCTTATGTTCACCAATGGTTGGATTCGGTGCCTGTGACCTTCCGAGGCCACGCCCAGAACCTCCACCAGCCAGCACTTTCCCCTGGAGCCCACGCTCTGGGCCAAGTCCCTCCTGGCCACCTGCACAGTGTCCTGGGGGTGGCAGGGCCGTCCTGAGAACGTGACCCTCAGAGCGGGAGAAGACATACCTCACCCTCTCACCCCCACGCTGCTCTGGTTCGTCCTCATCAGCCTACCTGATTATTTATTGATTCTTTTTATTTTTTTTTAATTCACCTGAGATTGTGTGCACTTTGGGGCTCTGTGGCTGGTCCTGATGTTTTAATTAAGCTTGCTCTTGCTTCAGCTGGCAGCCGGGGCACAGGGAGCTTAAATCTATTCTCATGGGAATCCTCAGCTTTGGGGTGGGAGGCATCTAGGGCTTGGGGTTTGCCACTGGGCAGATCCCGGGGTTCCGGGTTGGTAGGTTCATGGAAGCTCTGTACCTCCTTCCCTTCAGCTCCACCTTCTTTCTCTGTCCTTGCGGACTGTGTTCAGTCTCAGGCGAAGAATCTCCAAGACGCAGTGGGACCCCCTTGGGGCCAGGTGGGGAGTGGGGTCGCACCTGCCGGAGGACGGTGATGGTCGGCTCCCGCTACTGACGTTGAATCGGAGAAAGCACTTTTCTTGTCGAGAGCTTTTCCTACCAGGTCACTGCGACTTTGAGGACGCATGACGGTGTCCCCGGGGAGAGGGAAGCGGGCCGGTCCCTGGAGCCATGGGGCCTGTCTCCTGAGTTTGCCGTACTCTGGCGAGCTCTGTTCTCCCGGCTTCAGTCTGTCCTTCTGTAAACAGGGAGGGAGGCATCTGGGGAGCTCAGGGGCCACAGAGGGTGTCAGGCAGTTTACAAGTGCCCCCAGAAATAGCACGCCCCATTTGTGTGTTTCCCCCAAGCCTGTGCGTAGGAGCATTTTCCTGGGGAAGGTTCTGTAGGTTTCGCTAGATTCTCAAGAGACGCAGAACCCAGGCAGTGGTTTACAAAAAGCAAAGTAACAGCGAGCTGACAAACAAAAACCTGTTCCAGCTTGAAAATCCTCCAGAATGTAAGACTCTGTTGACCGATCAAGGCTCCTACGTCACGATGAGGTCATCGTTCTGATCATAAATCCCCAAAGACTAAAGCAGGTGTCTGCTGGTTGGCTGATTCATCCCTTGAAAAAGTGTCCCCTGAGACAGGGAGCAGAAAGGACTCCTGAGCCCCTCCCCGAGTCCCGGGAGCTGAGTCCACTCAGAAGACACATTCAGAGCGTGCCATATGCCTCTGGGCTTGGCGGAGTCAGAACGGGTCCCCAGAGTGAGGAGGGGTCCAGCTCAGCTGCCTGGTCCTGGCTGTCTCTCCCTCCCTCCCGCTGGGCCCTTCAAGCTGTTGAGAGGCCTTCCCGGCTTCCCATTTCACAGAGGAGAAAAGCGAGGCCCAGAGAAGGAATGTGACTTGTAAAAGTGAACCAGTTGTGACGGAAAGCACAAGTCAAACACTTGGAGCAGAAATAGAATGTCATTGCTCTCCGTTTGAGGCATCCTGGGGTGGCCTTACCCTGCTGGGTTCCACCCAGCATCTCTGAGAATGGTGACCTGGTAGAGGTTTCTGGTAGCTTAGCCTCTCACTGCTGGGCTCCTCCTGAGGCTGCTGGTGTTGGTGGCCCTGGCAAGCTCCGGTGTCTGCCCTTCTCCGCCATCCCTCCCATGGGGGAGACAACCTTGCTCTCCACCCCACCCCCGCCCCAGCACACACCTCTTTGTGTTCCTTGGCTTAGCCAGGGGGCAGGGTCTTCACGGAAGAGCGCCCATCGTCATGGCTGGGACTGAAGGCGTGGGTGGGCTTAAGACTGCTGGTGTCCTCCCCTGGGGTCTGAGAATCCAGCCAGAGTATTTCCCATGGAGCATTTGGTGTGAGGTCCCCAAGGGAGGCTCTCAAGGGTCCATTGCAGTGCTGGGCTCCCAGCCCAGGGCTCTCCATCTGCTCCTCAGGTCCAGAGCTCCCTGGAGACCAGTCCTGGGCCCCAGGCAGAGAGCAGAGGAGTCCCTACCTGCAGTCAGTGTGAGCCTAAGGCCAGAAAGACTGGGGCCAAGGAGGAGGCGAGATCTCAGCACCCTCCCGAACCCCTGTGGGGCCAGGAGACTGATTTTTCTGGAGCTGGAGTCACCTTTGCAAAATCAGCACCTGGGTCCACATCCCCACTCCCATCCCCATCCCCCACACCATCACCTCTGCCCCCCCCCCCCCATCTACCTGCTAGGGCAGAGAGCAGGGAGGGTTTGGTTTGTAGCGTCTGCCTTCCAGAGCCATTGGGCAGACAAGGAAGTTCTTAAAGCGATGCTTTTCCGGGCATGCGCTTAGTGGGAGAAGCCAGATTGAAGAAAATAGGACTGAAAATGGGGAAGCCAGACAAGAAGGTGGGGAGAACGATCCTTGCAAGTTAGAACTTGCCAGAAGGACAGGGCCTTTGGCTCCGGGGTGCAGTGGAATCACAGAGAATATTAGAACCCTGCTGTTTGGGTCTAACAATTCTCTTCGAGGCAGCCTGAACACAAAAATGGAAAACAGAAAAGAACTCACCGTCCGTCCACTTTCTCCAGGGAAGCACAAGCCAAAGATGGCTGGCCGTGAGCCATCATGAGCCACTGCCCTTGCCCCTATGGAGAGCTCAAGGTCATTGTCATGTCCATCATGGACCTCTGGTTGGAAGCAAATGTGCCCATGGGCCACCAGCTGGTCATCCTCTCCCATGGTCTGGGCTGACGGGTTTCAAGAGAGAGTCTGCTTTCACCGGCCCTGGTGTTGAAATTGACCCTGCTGCTCGCTTCTCTCAAAGGACAGGACTGCCCTCTGTGCCCTGCTGCGGGCGGCCCTGAGCCAGACACCAGCTTCCCTCCGGGTCCATATCAGGAGGGGCCACCCTGGGGGACAGACACGGCTGCCCACCGGCGCCTGGCCCTCACTAGAGTCACCTCAAAGCCAAAGTTTCTTGAGCACTTTCTGTTCTTTGCAATCATGTTTGGTTCATTGTTGGTGTTTTTAAGAAATTTACTTTGTTTTTCCTCTTGCCTCGATCCCGTGTCTGTGTGGTAGCTGAACGCTGATCGGGGTGCATTTTGAAGGAAGGTAGCAAGAGTTGCCTGCCCCAGCCTCTGCTCTGTTTTATTTATTGTGGAATATTTCCAGTGATCCAAATCAGAGTGAATTAAAACAAAGCTATTTTATCGTTCGGGGGTGGTCGTCGTCTTTCTGCGAGGGCCGTGCCTTCCTCCTTCCCCTCACAGCTTCCAGTGGGCTTACTCTCAGTCCTAAAAAAGGCCCCCAATGGTTCACCTGCTGGGGGCCGCCTCAGTTAGTGTCTGCCCCGACCACGGGCCCAGAGTTTCAGAGCATGAGCCTCTCAGATGCCGCAGTGCCTCTTGCTGCTGTGTGACTCCGGTGGGTCCCCAAACCTCTCTGGATCTCGGCTGCCCCCTCTGCCAAACGGGACACGATGGTACCAGCCATCAGAGGAGGTGTGAGATCAAGAAGAAAAGCAGCTCAGGGGGCCTGGGTGGCTCAGTCGGTGGGGAATTGTCTGCTTTTGGCTCAGGTCATGATTCTGGCTTCCTGGGATTGAGTCTCGCATCAGGCTCCCTGCTCAGCAGGAAGCCTGCTTCTCCCTCTCCCTCTCCCTCTGCCTCCCTGCCTCTCCCCAAACTCATACTTACTGGATCTCAAATAAATAAGTAAAATCTTAAAAAAAAAAAAAAAAAAAGGGAGGGAGCAACTCAGGAGACCCGCCCTAGAAGATGTGCACCAGCTGCTCCACGCTTTTGCTGAGTGAAACAGCCTTGTCCAGGGCCCCAGGTGGGCTGAGTTAGGGTTCAGCTTTTCCTCCAATAAATGGGTACATCCGTGGATGAATCCAAGTTTGATCCAAAGTGGGCACAAATCTCTCATGAGAAGATCCAGAAATCCAGGATTGGGGTTCTGCAATGTAAATTTGGTGGATATAGTACCACCCCGCAATCTGTGTGGCCGGTCGCACCTTGCACAACACCTCCCTAGACACAATCTTGAATTCTCAGAGCAGCCCTACAGGACTGCCTGGGTTTCCATGTGTGCAAAGGAGTAGAGAATTAAAGCCAGCTGAGGGCAGAGGTGGGGTTCAAAGCAAGCCTCCTCTCGGCAGATCCGGGGCTCCCTGTCACTCCACTGCCTCCCAAGAGGACATCTCCCAGGCTTGTCTGGGAAGCTGGTCTGCGGTGACCCTGTGAGGGCAGCCCTCAGAGCGGAGGGGAGCAGAGAGGAACATAGGTGCCCTGGAGTCATGCCGCCTGCG